CCCCCCCCCAGGAAGAGCCTGCAGGAGCAGCCTGCTTTTGCCCCATGCATAGATCAAGGGGCACATGCTTCTTATGGCTCCCCTGGGGGTATGTGCAGTGGTGGGACCCAACCTTCCTTCCCCTGCACCCCTCCCCCAGCATGAGCCGTGTGGCTCGGTCCCAAGCCCCAGCTTGGCAGCAGCTGCTCCAGCCCCTCATCGCAGGAGCCTGGATCTGTTCCTCCCCACGCCCCTTCCCCTCCCAACAGACTTACCAGCTGGACACTGTTTTCCAAGCTGCTAAGTTGCATATCAGTAATTGGATAGCTATCAGCTGATATGGCTTGTTAATAATCGGCCATCAGTATTGGCCAAAAAAATCTTTACACCCCTAGTACCTACTAGGTGGGACAGGATCTGGCCCTAGGTGTGTGTTAGCTAGGAAAAGGAGATTAAGTAGAAGATATAGCAGTTTTCAAATGGTCTTAAAGGCTACCATGAAGAAGATGGTTTTCCCTTTCTGCAGAGGGCAGCACATGAAGCTTTCACTGAAATCATTTTGGTCAAAAAAACTTTACTTGCTCCTAGAAGAATACATACCAGTACTCTACTTCTTGTGATGTAGCTATCTGGTATAATTTAATGGGTTACACATATCGGTAAATTTATTAATTAACTTAAAATCCAACTGCCAAAATATCCATGTCTCTGCTGGGGTATTGCCTGTACCTTCAGATGTGCACAATAGCCTTTTGTTTTTATCTGTAAACCTTTAAATGCCTGGCTAAATTCTTGAAACTCATCTTAGATATGACATCTGATACTGTTTTCATCGATGTATGTTTTGCAGAAGATGACTGGTATTTGTGTCATGTGACAATTCTTTCCCCAAAAGAAGAACTTCTAACTTGGGGTATGTACCCATATCCCTATTTGGCACGTGTTGATCCTGATGCTCGAAAAGGTACTCTGATTTACCAGCTTGCTGCCTATTACACTAACAAAGAAAACTCCAGTACTGCGATAACTTATGCACTTATTGCAGGTAAATCTCTTTTCAAACACCTAGAAAGTCTGAATGATTATGAGCGGGTTTTTTTTAACTATCCAATTTTATCATGTAGTTAAGGCTTTACTCTTGAAAATCTATTACCCAGATTGGCGCGGGGGGCAGGGAACCTTTTTGGCAGGCATACCAGAAATTAAGCCCTGCACCTTCCCCAGGTACCACTCTAATCTGCTTCCCTCCCAAACTGCTGCTCTGCTTTCTGTTCCTTGCCCTATATACCACTGTGCTACGTCCCTCCCTGTTCAGCCACGTGCCTTGCACAGAGGCTACCCATACAGCTTGTGGTATGCCTGGTATGTTTGCTTGGTAAAAGTCAGAGGTAATGAATACAGTGCAAGTGAAACAAGCCTGTAGAAACAAGTCTTTCAGTTACGTATACCCATTTGGGTTGCTTGGTTTAGATTTTAAGTTTATTATGATCAGTATTGAATTATTAGATTCTTACCCATCCTCTTTTCCCCTGTGCCCTTTCTTAAATGTAGAGGGTAATTCACAGTCTACCTTGAAAGTGTCACACTAATCCTACTTCCACTTTAAAAAAATATCCAAATGTAACTGATTTTTTGTTTGTAGGATTAGAAAAGAGAAAAGAGTAGATGCAAATAATTGGTCTGGTGTATATAACCTTAAAATCTCTAGGAAGAACAGCTTGTAAAAGGGCATTCCTTTGGCACATATTCAAAAGAAAAGACTATAAAACCTATGCCTTTTTAAAATGTTGTCATGGTTTGTATTTGTGGCAGAATTAGCAACACATTCTTCTGACTAATAGCTATACAAGCATATTTGTTATATAGAAGGTCTAAATCTTTTTGTAAAGGTAAAACTGATAAATACAGTTCTTGTAAAGTTGCCCACTTGCACTAAGATTCCCTAATGCACAGAACATGCACAGTAATGAGTAGTGCAAGTTTTCCCCATTGTATTTTGCAACATCATACACAGAAATAGCATTTTAGATTAATTGCCAGACCACTTCCCTTCCTTTTCCCTTTCTGCTGAGGCTGTAAGGAAAGCTGTCAGTTCTACTGTATGTCAGGTAGTTTGTACAAAATTCTGGCAAAAAGAAGAGGGAATCCAAAACTGAAGACTTGTCTACAAGGGGAAGTGTTTGTGAAACCAGTCATAGGGCAAAATTAAAGTGCAGTAGCTGTTCTGAACTAGTTTCCCGTGCAAATGGTTTTGTTTTCTGCTGATGACTTATCGACACAAGGGGTGTTTTGCATGTGTTCCACGAGTGGGAGCCACTCTAAGAGCCACTCTAATTAAAGCACCCGCAGCATCTCGTGTATCAGTGTCCCAAAGCTTCAGAAAAGCACTGCCACCGCCATAACTAAAGCTTGTTGAACAAGCTTTTGTTAAAACGCCCCTGCCACCATTTTGAAGCATGGGGACACTGATACTGGAGACATGGAGGCTGGCTGGAGCGCGATAAGCAGGCTTGATTAATTGGAGCAGCCCCCTGGCTTGTATAGGCACCCTGGGATTCTAAGGTAATCCAATTCATCTCAAGTAAAAGCGTAAATTTTAAAGTGGGTTTAGTTAAGCTGCATGGACACTCTTCATAATCAAAGCAACTACAACTTGATTTACTTTGCAAATGAGGTAAACTAAATTGAATTATGGCCACTTTAATTCTGACGAGAGCATCCACACAGAGGATTAATGCGAGTTGACAGGAGGGATTTTAGCTGTCTTTGCTGTGCTTTTTAAAAACACAGGAAAGTAAACAAATTGGCAAATAAAATAGAAATGGAGCCTGTTAAAAGTGCTTGAACTTTGTATTAGGTCAATTATCCTTCTCAGAACTGAAAATAATCTTTCCGAAAATGAGTGGAAAATGTCTTTGTGATATGTACCAATTTAATATTGTCCTGTAATGCCATAAGCCTGGAGGCTGCTGAGATGTTCAGGCCAGCTAATCTGAGAACTAAAGTTAAACCCTTGATATTTTTGTAGCATTTCACAGTGCAGAGAAACTTGGCTGTTGGTACCAGGTCTCCTGTCCTCTTGTGAGGTAATGTGTATTAACTATGTGTCTCAAAAGTACAGATGAGTGAAAAGTGTAATAATGGATATGGATGTAAGCAAAGGCTTGAGTGAGGCTGAAACTTGAAGATGTAAATAGACTTACTGTGAAGTCTCCTTCAGAATGGCTTTGTGTATTTATTGATAGGTGGAGAAGACCGATTTGAAGTGGAAATGGACACAGGTTTTATAGGGACCACTGGTTTACCTTTAACTTGGAACAAGGAATATGTGGTCACTGTGCAGGCCACTGACGAATTCGGCAACACAAGCCCTTATACCTCCATTTCCATCCTGGCTGGCTGCAGACCTCCCCAGTTTACTAATGTGTCCTATACTGTGTTTGTTCCTGAAAATACTCCAATGGGAGAAAAGTAAGTGGAAGATGAGGGTGGGTAGATAGCAGCTGTCTGAGAGGAGCTCTGTGGAACATCATACAGAGACTCTTGTTTCTCATTCAGAGGATTGTATTTACATGTTTCTATCTTGCATTATGAAAAGAGATGCTGCTTTTGAAATAGAGGAGCATTGTAGCCTAGTGGATGAACAGCTTGGTTGGGAAAAGGAAGGGTGGAAATCCCAGCTCTGGCATTGATTTGTCTGAGATAAAGAACTTAATATTTTACTCTTGCACCCACCCCTGTTGTCTGCCTAAAAGGTACATAGACTTCATAAATTTCATAGACATTAGGGCTGGAAGGGACCTCGGAAGATCATCGAGTCCAGCCCCACTCCCGAGCAGCAGGAAGTTAGCTGGGGTTATAGGATCCCAGCAAGATAAGCATCCAAATTTCTCTTGAAGGCGTTCAATGTAGGTGCTTGAATAGCCTCCGGTGGCAGGCTATTCCAGACTTTGGGGGCTCGGACAGTGAAGAAATTCTTCAGTACGTCCAGCCTGAAACGGTCTTGTAGGAGTTTATAACCATTCAAAATTGTCATCCCTTGGGGCACTCTGGTGAACAGTGGTTGCCCCAGGTCCTGGTGAACACCCCGATAAATTTATAGGTGGCCATCAGATTAGCCTGGAAAAGTGGAAGCTCAGGGGTGAAGAGCCCCATAGCTCTCAGCCTGTCATCGTAAGGTCTGTTTTCCTGACCTCTGATCATGCACGTGGCTCTTCTCTGGACTCTCTCAAGCTTCTCCACACCCTTTTTGAATTGAGGAGCCCAAAACTGGATGCAGTACTCCAGCTGTGGCCTCACCAAGGCTGAGTACAACAGGAGAATGACGTCCTGGGATTTGCTTGAGAAGCATCTCTGGATGCAAGCCAGCGTTTTGCTCGCTATACTAGCTGCAGCATCACATTGAAGGCTCATATTCATCTTGTGGTCAATCATGACCCCCAAGTCCTTTTCATCGGTAGTGCTAGCCAGTGTAGCACTACCGAGCCTATAAGGATGCTGCAGGTTTTTCCTCCGAAGGTGGAGAACCTTGCATTTTTCGGTGTTAAACACCATCAGGCTTTTGATGTAACAGGCACAACAAAAGCTATCTGAAAGAACCTTTCGAGAGGAATGGAAGTATATTTTCTCCAGTGATGAAGGCATGGAAAGAAATTTATGTAGGCAGCTGGCTGGCTGAGTTCCTGCTGAAATGATTACTTGGATAAAACTATGATCTTGCTGTGTTGTACAATGGGTTAAATGCTCATTGCTTTGAATAGGAATCTTTTTCACCTAAATAAACACCTGAAAATGCTTTTAACTGTTCAAAAAATGGGCTATGTTGCAAGCTGACAGTTTCCTCTTTATGCTTCTTTAATTAAACAGCTTCTGAATGATGAAAATAGTCTTTTGAATGGGTATTATGTCTGAATTGAAACAGCTGAGTCTCTAGGGTAGTCATCCATTGCCTACAGAGTAGCTTTGCAAAGCAACAGCGGGTGACACCAACAAGATGGGTCAGTTTTATTGTTGTCTTTCTGAAGTGTGTGAGCAGCATGGGACTATAAAACTTTGATTACCAGAAGGGTGGGATGTTGGAGTTATTGTGCAGGGTAAGAGAACTCAGAATAGGCTAAGAAGTCAGTATGACCTATTATTCATTCCCTTCAGGAAGTTCTGAATGAGAAGATATGCCATTTTTCCTTTTCCCGAACCATGGAGAGTGGGAGTTTCACATATGTGGTTGTCCTAGCATGCAGGCTGATGTGAAAGACAGAGCCTCCAAAAAGGGCGTGACAGTGGTGTGCTATTGGAAATCTTAGCTTCTTCCCAAAAGATAAGGGGAAGGAAGCAGAGAGCTGGATTTCCTACTAAGCCACTGTCCCATTGGCAAAGTTCTCTCATGTCCCCCCAGGCCAACCTCTTTCCCTCCTCCCCAGCTTTCTTTAATATCTGTCACTGGCTAGCTGGTATCTGATAAATCTTTTAAGATTGACTTGCAAAGAAAAGTGGAATTAAATATATTTAATTCATCAGACTGATAAATGAGGCAGAAATAACAGCTCTGCAAGTATTAACGGGGGGGAAATGCTTATGAGGGAGAGGGTGTTATGAAGCTGGGCAGTACGGAGCAATGAGTTGAAATAAAGAAAAAGTAAGCTGTTATCTTGAAGCTGTTAGCAGATAGCTGGGCTAAATTGTATAATAAATTGCTCTTTCTCCAACTTCTGATTCTCTCAGTGAAACAAAAAATAACTTGTTTAATGGTTGTTCTGTTCTTTACAGCATAGCTGTCATTGAAGCTATTTCTTTCCAGAGCCAGTCTCTTTCATACACACTGCTGATGAATCCTAGTGGTCTGTTCAGCCTGAACCAGCAGAGTGGAGAGCTTGGCTTGATTCATACAGTGGACTACGAAAGCGAGCACCATCTCTATCATTTATTAGTGAAGGCGATGGAAGTTGAGAGTATGCTTAGCAGTGTAACTGAGGTATGATGCATCACTACATGTCGTGTTTGCCATTTCCTCAGTCTCTATTACTGCACTTAGTGATGTGATATTCATGATCAATGTTGACATGAAGTTGCGTGTTGCCAGAGAGAGAATGCCATTAAGTTCTAAGTGCTACACTGGGGCTTGGACCTGAGTTCAGCTTCTGGCTCTGCAAGATAATTCCTGTGTTAGCTGTCTTTGCTGTGCTTTTTAAAAACACAGAAAAATAAGGGTAATGATTCTTCTGTACGTCACAAGAGTGTTTTGAGGAAAATTTTATTAGTATGCCTGAGGTAGCCATTACATTGATGAAAGCAATAAGCCCCTAGATAGGTATGAAAGCTAAGATGCATTTCTGTGGTACCTTTTGAACTGCCACTTGCAGGAATATTGCTGAGTAGATATAAATATGTATGTGACAAAACACGCAGAATTTTTTCTAGGTTCGTTATGACTCAAAATCCAAACATTTGTCTGTACTTATGGGGTTCAGAATAAAGCCCAATAATTAATGTACTTAGATGTATGCACTTTTTTTTTAAAAAGCCAGAATATTACCTTGATTTTTTTTTTTCTGTGAAACTAAGACTTTTTTTTAAATAGAGGTGCACCAATACATCGGTCCCATTTTGGATTGGCACTGATATAAGGAAAATTGACTGTATTGGCAGTCGGCTTTTTTTGGCTGATATGACTGATAAATGCCCCGTGCATGTGCAGCCGAAGTGCAACATGCAGGCGGCCATGAGCACAGCCTGGCAGCATGGAGAGCAGCCAGGTCTGGCTGGTAAGTCTGTTGTGAGGAAAGGGGCCGGGCGGGGGGAGGGGGAAACGATGACACAGATCAAGGCTTCAACGGTGAGGAAAGAGGGAGTAGGGCTGGGGCAGAGGAAGGCACTGCACAGCTGGAGTGGAGCGGGGGACGGAGCCATGAGTGACTTGTCCAGGGAGGTGTAGGAGGCATGGTTCCTGCTGCTGCATGCACCCCGGAAGGGCATGAGGGTGTGCCCCCAGATCTGTGCAGGGGACAAGGGTGGGCTGCTGCTGCAGGCTGGGGACAGGGCATTGCCGGGCTCTTCCCGGTGCAGGGGTAGGGCCAGGGCTTTGCTCAGGGTGACAATGGCACTGGGAGGGGGGCTATGGCAAATTTTGGGATGGCTGCAGTCTGCCATCGTAGCCTTCTCCCAGCACTGCTGCCTCCCAGCCCAGCCTAGCCCCCTGCTGGGAAGATCCCTCTACCTCCTTGGCCCCAGTTTGCAGCAGCAGCAGCCGCTCCCCTTCATCCCCCCACCCCTGGATGAGCTGCTTGCAGCTCCATCCCCTGCTCTGACATTGCTGTGCAGTGTCAGCCCCACTCCCTCCCTCATCATGGGGGCCTCAATCTGCCCTCCTATGACCTTTCCCTCTCCCTTAGCCCCTTCCTCCACCACAGACTTACCAGCTGGACACCGCTTTCCAAACTGCCCAGCTGCATTTTGGAATTGGATTGGTATTGGCCAGTAAGGTTCATTAAAAATCAGCCATTGGTATTGGCCCAAAAATTTTTCTATCGGTCCACCCCTAGTTTTAACGTATCCTGTTTTGATCCTGGGTAAGGAGAATGCCTCTCTCCAAAAGCGGACTGGGTTTGAGAAGTATCATATCAGAAATAAACCTTGGACACTGAGTCTTGTATATTCTAGATGTTTACCTGTCCTGTGTTATCTCAAGGGTAGCATGCCGTAGTTCTAAAACGGGAAGGAAAACATTGCATAGAATGGCATAGAGTGTGCCATCTTAAGTAGTAAGAGCTAGTGTGTCAAAATGTTCGTATTTTAGATAGCAAGTAGCTAGTCCTGGGCCACTCTTGAGGTAGAGGCTGTCATTTTCTGTTAGTTTTTTTTCTTTTGTATGTGTTCATGATTATTTTTTTCTGTGTCACAGGTTATGGTTTACATTGCTGATTACAATGACTGTTTTCCAGTATTCCATGACTCCATTTATATCGGAAACAATGTTCTTGAAACCATCCCTGTTGGCACATCTTTGCTGCAAGGTGATCATGTCTCCTCTACCTCTTTCTCCTTTGTCACAAGCTTAGGCTGCAGCCAGCTATTGGATGTGTTCAGGATTTTACCATGTGAAAGCTCTCTTTCACCACTTTTATAACAGATGGTTCCATTGTCAGAGGAGCAAGACTGTTGACCACGATCCTTTTTCTAGAGCTGGAGAATAGTCTCCTGAGTTTCTGGAACCAAGACCCTTGAGTGATTTGAAAATGAGGACTGAGATCTTGAAATAGATATGATATTTCATGGAGAGTTGGTGTTGTGGGGGGAGAACAGATAAACATGCTTATGGTAACTTGTATTGACAAGGAGGTATTCTTGGGACATTTTCTGCTAGTCATAGTTTTTGAGGGCTGACAGTTTTATTCCCAGTTATTTTAGTCCAGCCAGGGAGGTGATGGACATATACCTATATAACCAAAGTTTGATTGTTGTCCATCAGCATCAAGGTGCAGTACCCTAAGTCAGGGGTCAGCACTGTTTTTGGGCAGAGTGACAAAAACATCTGCAGCCTCAACTTGTAAGATGTTGGCATGCCAGGGGTGGACAGCAGGGGAGCCACAAGGATCCTGATCCTTGTTGCAGCAGTGCAGCCACAGCTCCTTCCCTACCCTGAAGTCTGTGCACCATGCCAAATGCGTTTGCATGCCATGCTCTGGCACCCATGCCAGGGGTTACCTACCCCTGCCCTAAGTGGCTGTAGATGGTGGTATCATGTTACCAACTTCTGTGTGAGAGTTTAGTATCTGTGAGGAATCCAGAAGCACTGCTAAAATGCAGATTGGATTAACCAACTGAATATTTTTTGCCTTCAGCCATAGGAGACCCTAGCTATGAAATCCTCTTTGTACCAAAAAGCATGGCCTATTTTTTTTTGTGTTGGGCTTCAACCAGATCCTCATCCATGAACTGTCCGGGGGTCTGGGTTGCTGACAATGGTGTCATGTTTTGGGAGAGATGAGCAGAGAGCTGTGAGTTTTCTGTGTTTCTTAGAGGCTGCATGTTTCTTAAGACAGCATGGCAGTATCTGATGCTGTTATCTTGATTTTTATTAAGACACACAAATCGTGGGAGTTGAGCTATTTGTCTT